TGTATTATACCATAAGTTGAAGCAGCTCCAACCAGGGTCAACCCTGCGTTGCGCAAATTCCAAATTTTTTGCGACCCCCTCCATTTCAAGGGGTGTCAGTGCGACCCCCCCCCTATTGGACATGTGTGTTTTTTAGTGTTACGGTGTATTTCTGTGTGTATCAACGTCTTTGTCCAATAAAGTTGAAGTGTGTACATGGCTTCTTCTCTTTATTCCTGAAGAAATCCCGAAAATAACAATATTTTCTTCACACGCCATATTTTATCCTCCATTTCATGGAGGAAATCGAAAAACTTCCGAATTTTCGAACGAAAGTCAAAAATGGATCTAATATTCGTGATCAGGACCTCCGATAACCCCAATAGACGAAGTTTCAGCGAAAAAAAAATTTTGACACCCTACTGGGGTTGTAATAATGCAATAGCGCCGGGAACCCTTAGCACGGCCTCTAAAGCAGTACGGAAGGGAACCGGACACCAAAATTTTGAAAATACAAATAGTTTTCTTTCTAAAAAGTATTTGAAATGTTGCGGATGTTCAATATTTCAAAAAATCGTCCCGTTGTTCCGTTTTTTGTGCACACGCGAGTTTTCGACATTCAAACATTCATAACTTTCTTCATAATCAACTTTTTGCAAATGTCTAAGGCTAATTAGAAACTAGAAGATTAGCGCTTTCAAACAAGCACCTGAAAATTTTCCAGCGATCATTCTTTCAAAAAATAGTCCCGTTGTTCCGTTTTGGGGGGTTTGGGGTCCGATTTTTGAGAAGGCGCGAGTTTTCGACATTCAAACGTTCATAACTTTCTTCATATCAACTTTTTGCAGATGTCTAAGGCTAATTAGAAACTAGAAGATTAGAGCTTTCGAATAAGTGCTAAAACTTTTTTGAAAAATCACTCGCTCAAAAAATAGTCCCGTTGTTCCGTTTTTTTCATAGACTTTTTTTCAAGCCTTTTTCTGGAACCGCGACATTGCAATCTTCAAGAACCCATAACTTCCTTCAAACTTCTTTCAATGCAGTGTGCGGCAGTGCACTTTCACGCCCTAATGTTCTCCAAAAGCTCTGCACCGTGCAGCTGTCGGAAAGTCGCACAGACAAGAGCTCCATGGGAGCATTAGAGCATGCAGGGTATTATAAGTCTCACTTCATCCATTATTATCATTGATACACGGACGACGTTTTTGCTCGACAGCATTGATCAAGATCACAATAGCCAAAAATTTTGTTACACGTAGTGCAAAAACATGGTCTGTCTTCGATGATCGAACATTCCTGAAATCCCAAGGAGAACAAAGTGTAGAGCAGTTCATGGGGAAGTGAAAAAAGAGTACCAGTACAATGCAACTCAATCACGATACTAACACCTTCTTCAGGAAAATGGAGGACTTTCAAATGCGAGTGCGACTTTTATCCACAGACAGGTGCACGGCGTACACCCGAGCAGGCGTCTTCCCACGAAAACGCCTTCACTGTCAGGGGCCGTAAGCAGACAAACTTCCTCAAGAAAATTTTGATGCTTTTAAATCAAATCTAAGCGGAACAAAATGTAGCGAACTTATTTATTTATTTATTTATTTATTTATTTATTTATCTTGCACAATACGTGCGC